TTAGTGGAACTACACTGCAGGTTAAATAAAATAAGTCATCAAACTAAGGATCTGATTTTTTTCATATCCAATGAAGTGTTTCATGAATTTGCCTGATCATCTAAGTTACTTGGGTGCACTTCTTAAGAGTATAAACTCTCATTTCCCATCCTACATGTGCTAAATTAAACCACCAGAGGATCAATTTGTGAATCTAGCTGTTATTTACATATCCAGGATTTTACACAGGAAGGGGTAGATTTGGGAAATCTTGGCAGATCGCACTTACCAAAAAAGCATACTAACAAATATAATAAAAACAAAATTTCACGTTCAAGATAAAGAGGTGCAAAGGAGCCATATGCAAGAATGTTCACCAGAATAATGTTTGTAATAGAAAAAAATCTGTATGTGCATCAGTTGGAAAATAGGTGAATTATGATGTGATTATATAATGGAATACCATACTGATATAAAAATAAATTACCTTCATTTATATATAATTGACACAAGTGAATCTAAAAAATATGCTTTATATAAAAACAATTCAGTAATTATGTGTATACATGGGTGTATATATATTTGTGTACTACATATTGTATATGAAAACATGTTTTAATGCTATCTTCTAGCTAATTTTACATAATGTAAATACTTCATAAATTAATATGATTGATTATAACATGTGTTGATGAGGGGATGAACAAACTTTCTTTTTGTAGGGCAATTTGCATATATACATTTATTGAAACTATACATATATATCCATAACCAATATAAGCTAAATATATTATGATAATTTCAATATTCTTGGTAAATTAAAAACAAGTAAAATAGTAAACTGTTTAGTGACCTGAAAATATTTTTACTAACCTGCCTTTATTTTCAAGCAAATGATAAAAACAAGTAGCACAGGAGTTTATAGTATATGATTCCATTAAAATGGATGCATGAAAAAATTATGTGAGTATGAGAGTAAAGAATATTTAGTAAAAGTACAAACTAAAATATTTATTTTTACACATTATATGTTCATATTTTTGAAATTTTATGTAAGAAATTTCTAAAAATAAAAGAGACAAATCTTTAACAAAATGTTACATGGAATCATTGTACCAAATATTTTAAAATGTCCATTTAGTCTTCAACTGATTCCCAAATGGGTCAGAAAAAAAACAATGGGCACTTCTATGGGAAGAGAGACTGATCCAAAACAAATGTAGCAAAATGTTAAGAACTGGGGAATGTAGTGAAAGGCGTGTAGGAACTTCTTGTTCTCAAAACCATTCTGTTACTTTGAAATTATTTCAGAATGATTTTCAAAAGACCACTCACACAATGATGGGAAAATTTACCCATGTATTTGGTATTATGTGTATGATAAGATTCCACAACCCTAACTGGTATTAAGAATTCCATCAAGGAACTTCTTAATGAAGTTTCTCAGACCAGGCTGGAAATATGCTAAACTGAAACCTGCAGAGGAGTGCGGGAGCCTTAGACCCAGGTGTCTGTTATCATACGGCAGGTTCAGAAAACACTAACTAGTGACCTTGATGAGTTTTTTAAAAATGAAAGAAAAAATACAAGAGACTTTTAAAATAAAATAAATAACTGGGTGTAGTGGTGCACACCTGTAACACCAGCAATTTGAGAGGCTGAGGCAGGAGGATTTCAAGTTCAAAGTCATCCTCAGCAATTTAGCGAGACCCTCAACCTAGTGAGACTCTGTTTCAGATAAAGAAATCAAAAGGCCTGGGGATGTGGCTCAGTGATTAAGCACCCCTGGGTTCAATCTCCCCTACAAAAAAAGAGGCTAAAATACATTAGCATCAAACAATACTCAGTATCAGTGAACATATGAGAAAACAGACATGATCATACATTGCAGAAATAAAATTGGGAGAACATTTTTTTCAAGACTGACTCCTATGACAATCATAAGCATCCACACTCTTAAACAGAAATGACAGTTTGAGGAATTTTAAACCCTGATGTTATTAACAAAATTCTATGTAAAAAAAAAATCCAGTCAACATTGTATTTATTAGTGAAAACTACAAAGAGCTCAAATTTCCATAAATATGGGATAGGATGGATGTGTATTATCTTTGTTTTGATGGGAAATATTTGGACAGATTTAAATTGTGAATAGTCTGTTTCTTGGGGCAGAAATAAAACTGATCACTTCTATCTTACCTATATTTTCTAATTTTCCTGAGGGCTTTTGTAGGTACCTTTGGAGCTTGCTCAGCTTGGGCTTAGGACAGTGTTGAAGTGCTAGAGATTTTACCACCCCCAGGGTAATATCTACCAAGAAATGACTGTAAACATACACTCCAGCTTCCCATCACTAACTGGGATAACTCTGGTTTTCTCTTCTAGTTCATTTGTTCTATATTTATCCTGGTACAATATTGTTTGAACATTGTGTAGCTTCTCACAATGTCTGTGTTAACTTTCCCAAATATTGTTACAAATTGTTGGAAGACATCACTAGTGTTCTACCTTAAAGGCAAGGCTAAAGTTATAGTAATACAATTCAGCGGAGAACTACATTTGCCACATGCTCTCAAGATCTGAAAATCCACCCGCAAGACTGTGCATCATCTTATGGAAGGACCTACAGACAGGGACCCTTCACAAGGAGAACCATCAGTTTAGGTTTGTATATCAAAATCCTTAGAGGGGAGGTGGATTGCTGTCCAGAAGGTCCATGTTTGTAATATGATTCAGCAGCAGAAACAGGTTGTTATGTTTTTACAACTTGAATTCTATTTTTTCAACTGAAAATAATTGTATTGTCTAATTATAACATCAAGAAATGAATTCCCACTGAGCTGATCAGAAACACACCTGAAACAACCACCCAATTTAAACAAACAGAAAGGTAAAAATTTTTAAAAATGGACTTCCTACCTATTTTCCAGACTTCCTAGCTTCTTTCTCCCTCCCCCTCCACCTCATCCCCGCCCAATTCCAATCTGGAATCAGACCAACAAGATTGTTAGGGTTAATTCGGGGCTTTAATTGTGGGCATAGAAGAGGAAAAAGATATTCTTTTAAAAGTCCAACAGAAATCACGGCAAGGAGAATGCACGCTACAAAATATTACGACACATCAATCTCGTGTATTTCTAAATAGGAAAAGTAAATAGAGGGATGGGTAGAAAAGCTTTGGTAGATAAGATGAGGAGAAAGGTCGCTCCGCCCACGCTCCCACCCCCACCCTTCTGCCGCACTGCAGGTGTGAATGGTAATTGGGAATCTGAGCTCACAGTGACGTGGCCCCTTCCAGACCCAGGGTGGATTAGTCTCTCCTCCCAGTTGCGGTCTTGGTAGTCTTCTGTGGCGGTGCTCTCTGAAGCGGGCGAACAGTTTTGCCCACAGAAGGAGGAAAGTAGTAGAAGCTGACCCTGATTTGGTAGGTTGGTGGGCGCAGCCTGGAGTTGGGGTGGAAAAGGGCAGTGACCAGAGCAGATCCAGGACTGGATTCTGTCTCATTCTTAAAGCTCACCTATTCGGTGCTTGTCCGGGGGGAGGGGCTCAAGAGAGTCCCGGGGTTAAAAATGGGTACCAGTTGGGATCTTCTAGGAGGTGGGCTGTCAGGCACTGTTTGATGGTAGTGGAAAACCGGGAAGGGTACCGCGTGGAAAAGGGCCTGATTTCTGCAGGGCCATGGTCGGGGGAGCCGGTAACCAGAAGGTGGGCAGAGCGGACCCTGCCACCGTTCCAGACCATGGTTCCCAGGATCTTTTGTTCACCCTTCCTACATTTAGAACCGGAAATTGTGGGCTACGGGGGCCGGGGAGGGGAGTTGCTACAGAGAAGAGGGACAGGAATTAGGACTGTGAAAGAGGTCCCTTATTGCAGAGGCTGCGGTTGCAAGCAAGCTTCTGTCCCAAGGATAGAGGCGGGGAGCTAGAAACTGTTTCTGGTCCCTGCAGGTTCGCGTAAGCATATGCACTGCTTGGGCAAAGAATGAAATCGCTGAGACCGCAGCGGGTCCTGGTTTGCAGTGCCCACACACCTCTTTACCCATCGTCCATCTTGATGCATAAAATGGTGGGCATGGGAGCGGGGTGAACTGGAAAGTAGGCAGTGAGTCTTATGGGAGACTGGGGAATGAATGAAAAGATTGATTTTTTTTTTTTTTAAATAAACTACGTCTTCACCCAGCAAACTCTTCTGACTCTCCTGCTCCACAAGTTATTCATGTGTGTCCAGGAAATGGTGATTTAGTGACAGTGGGACGAGACAGTGGAGAAAGGAGGCCTAAAGGAGATTAAAATGGTTTGAAAAAAAATTGTCTTTGGTATATAGTCCACTTCAGAAAGTTGATATAGCCTATTACAGGGCCGGAAAAGAAACCTTGACACAGGATGGAGGAGAAACAAAATGATTTGTTTAGGAAAGCCTTCAAATAAAAAATGGAGCTATTGTCTCCAGTAGGGATCCTTTGATCAAGTAGTTAATCCTGGATGTTGTTTGCATTTCTTTCTGCAGGTCTTTAGGTCCCTTGGCACAGCAGATTTGAAGGCTAAGAGAGAGGCAGCTTCTGATCCCTACAGGTAGGAGGGTGCCTGGGGCTCTCTAGTGCAGGGGTAAAAGATCAACAGAATTGGGTGGACTTACAGCCCACCCTGCCTAAGTGCAAGAGAAATCTAACAGAATCTGAATAAAATGGCCAGTCTGACTTGTGAGGAAAGGAATAGAGGGGCAAGGTCTAAGGCTCCCATGGAGGGCTTATCAGCATCTGTGTTTGCAGAGGCCTAGTCTCTGAACCACTGCCTGCATCTACCACCCATCCTAAGTGTTTGGATAGTAACCTGGAAAATAATTTGCAGGGAAAAATTTGGGCTTTGGGAATGGGGAAACAGGGTGGGAATGGGGAAACACCCCCTAGAGAGTATGTGAAGTCTCAGCAAAATCTTTGCCAAAAGGACCTCTGAATTGTTATAAAGCATTCAATCCTTCTTGTTTGTTATCTCCTAGAAAGAAGAAACAAGAAAAACTTCAACATGGAAAATGTCCCCCAGGAAAACAAAGTTGAGGAGCAGGCTCCAGTAAAAAATGAGGAAGAAGCTCGCCCTTTAGAAGGTGGTGAAGGCCAGCAACCTGGAGGAAATATTGGAGGGGTTTGGGCTCCACCTGCTCAGGATTTTGGAGAGGATGTGCCCAATAGGATTGCTAATAACATTGATATGATAGATGGAGATGCAGATGATATGGAAAGGTTCATGGAGGAGATGAGAGAGCTAAGGAGGAAAATTAGGGAGCTTCAGTTGAGGTACAGTCTGCGTATTCTTATAGGGGACCCCCCTCACCATGATCATCATGATGAGTTTTGCCTTATGCCTTGAATCTCCAGGTTAATAATCAAAACCCCCTGCTTTCCAAACTTGTATTTTCTTGTTGTACCCTTTATTGTGAACCTTTTGGTGTTCTGCTATATTCTGATTGGAGATTTCATTTTGACCTAGTCTGTAAGCTCAGTCAGCAGGGGAGTGTCATAAACTTGCATGGGAAAAGATTTATTACATCTTATAAAGTTAATAAAGCAATTTAAAAAGCAGCCAAAGATATACTACCTCATTTAACAGCATGCATATTTACACACATTATAATTTATAATATAGATGGAATCTATATGTGATTATGGTATAATTGGTATAATTATTGAGCTCATTTAAAAAAATATTTTATTAGTTATTGATGATTTTTTATTTTACTTATTTATAGGTATGTGGTGCTAAGAGTCACACCCACTGCTAGGCAAGTGCTCTACCACTGAGCCACAATCCCAGCCCTAATTATTGAGCACTTTTAATTTTCTTTTTTTTCCTTAATTATCTGTTTTTTTTCTTTTCCAAAATGAATACATATGTTTTATAGGTTGAGAAAAAAATTTAAGAAGGAAGGAATTAGCCAGTTTATAAAGGAAATGAAGGTGCTGGGCATGGTGGCACAGACGTGTGATCCTAGCGGCTCTGAAGATTGAGGCAGGAGAATTTTGAGTTCAAAGCCAGCCTCAGCAATTGAGCGAGGCACTAAGCAAGTCAGTGAGACCCTGTCTCTAAACAAAATACAAAAAAGGGATGGGGATGTGGCTCAGTGGCTAAGTACCAAAAATAATAATAATAATAACAACAGCAACAACAATAATAAAGGAAATGAAGGCAATCAACAAATACTTGAAACTAAATACAATTTAATGACATAAATCTCATCACCTCTGGATCTCTTGTTAATTAGCATATACCTGGTGATTATTACAAGTATATTTCTTTAAAGTGAGCCTATCGTCTATCAAATGAAGATAATATATGTCTTACAGTGTTACTGTGGGATAAAGTTAAGTAATGGCTGAATTCTGGCTAGTTCTATCCATACATACAAGACCCCAACACTCTAGATGCTCTTCATTTTGGGGGAAAAAGTGTGCCTACCACAAATCCATTTGACTACAAAGGGAATAACACTCTTCTATTCCTCTGCTGCTCTCCTTTCTCTGGGTAGTTCTATAACTATTGGGCACTCCTTCTCCATCTGGGTTTTGCTCCCTCCACTGGTCCCCACCATTGCTGATGTGCTAGATTCCTAAACGAGACTAAGATCCACATATTTCTGTGTAATCTTCAGTGGTCTGAATTCCCACTTGGCCCTTTAAGAAATGTGCTTTAGGGTTATACTTATACCACACAGATATTCTACCAGTGCTACTTAGGGATGCAAACAATGCTTTGGGGTTTTCTCACTGTTCCTCACTCCTGTCCCCTTGACAAATCTGAATGACACAGTGTGCTCAGAATTTGACTATCCCTTTCATCCTTTGATGAATATGTCCCAGGCTCCTTGACACTGCCACAGGAGAGAGAAACCTGTAGACAGGAATTGCAGAGGTGGCTCTATGTCCCCAAGAATATTTGGGTACACCACTCACATCCTAGGAATCCCTAGTAGACTCCATTCACACTAAGCTGCATGGATCCTGAGGTGTTTTCCTCCTGCTTTGCTTTGAGATTTGCTGTGCCAAGTAAGTCTGTAATCACAGTTCAATAGAAAACAGTGGTTAGGACTGACAACTGGTAGGTGGATCCTTGTTTTAGAATATTTTCCACAGTCATCACTGTTCATAAGACTGTCCTTATCACAGTAAGTGTTTTGTCTCTTATGTATCCTGATATGCTTTGTGTTTAGCACCGTGCCTGGCAAGTTGGAGGACACAACAGTTAATTATAGCTGAATCAAGAATTCTGCAAACTCAGTTTACATCTGATCATTTATGGGCAAGTCATTTCCCTAGACTGTACTTTGCCATTTAAAAAGGAACACAACAAAGACAGCATTATGTGGCATGCAAATGGATGTCACACTGATAAGTCCAAAAATTGTAGTTACAACACAGCAAACATGGAGGCAAATTTTTCACTTCCCTTGGACAGCTGTACTAGGCAGGTGATAGTTTTACTGATGGACACAATTGTGTTTGTGAATGTGTAAATATGCATGCTTTAAATGCTTTCTTACATTGGTATATCAGAATTAAAATCACAGCAGTACTTCAAAGAGCTGTTCTGGAAGTAAAATTTGCTCCAGATATTTGCTTTAGCAGCTTTCCATGGTTCATGGGTAGGACAAGCTTATGCAAAGGAACTACAATTGTCTATGACTGCTTTTGGGGGACAGTGAATTTTCCTCTAATGTTTTCTGAGAGTAGAAATTTTGACAGACACTGCCAGATAAACAGTACAAGCTGAAGCACCTCAGCTTTTCTTTATACTTCCCGTTTCTCAAAACTTTAAACTGTGTATAAATTACCTGGAAGATTCCTCAAAGTAGATTGTTGGGACTTACACCCCACCCCTGAGTTTCTGATTCCAGGGGTCTAAAGTTGGATTTGGTTGCAAGGTGATGTTCACCCTGCTGTCCTGGGGGTTCAGACTTAGAGCACAGTGATCTGTGATTTTCGTCCATCCCCATACAGTCTAGACGTTTTCATGTGTTCTTCAAACAATTTCACCATAAGTGAGTTGAGTTGTCTTTCACCATAAATAAGCTATGAAGTTTGCTCAACTTCACATAATTTATGTATGCCAAAACACATGATGATATATGCTAACTTACAGATATTGCTATTAAACTGGCAGGGACTTGGATTTTCCAATTTCCCAACTTTAGGGGAAGATTGAAAGGAGATAAATTGTGATGGTGGTTGAAGGGGTTGATAAAGAAGACCTTTCCTTTTGGGCATCACTACTGTCAATATAGGGCTAAATATTAGATTCAGTAAAAGAAAAAACATGTTTCCTCTTTCCCCCACTATTCTCCAAAAACCTGGCCTTTAATATACATAAGTACTGACATAACTTTCCTAAGTACATATATGGATGTATCATAGTGAATCTCAACATCATATATATTTGCAAGAAATTAATTTTAAAAAATAATAACTATGGGAAAATGGCAGAAAGATCGATAGGGGGGAAGGGAGCAGGGGCTGGGAAAAGGGAAGGGGAAGGAGAGGTATGAACCAAGGTCTGCTTGATGACTGAGCAACATCCTGAACCCTTTTTTATTTTTTTTTATTTTGAGACAGGGTCTCATTAAGTTGTTAAAGGCTGACCTCAAACTTGGGATCCTTCTGCTTCAGCCTCCTTGATCACTGGGATTACAGGCATGCACCACCATGCCCAGCTTGATACACTCTTTTTTTTAAAAAAAATATTTTTAGTTGTAGATTGACAAAATACCTTTATTTTATTTATTTATTTTTATGAGGTGCTGAGGATCAAACCCAGTGCATCACACATGTTAGTCAAATGCTCTACCACTGAGCTATAACCCCAGCCCCAACTCCATATTTTTTTAATTTTTTAGTTGTGGATAGACATGATACTTTTATTTTATTTATTTATTTTTATGTGGCACTGAGGATTGAACTCAGTGCCTCACACATGCTAGGTAAGTGCTCTATCACTGAGCCACAACCACAGCCCCTCAATATATTCTTGATGATGTTTTTTAAAATAATTATTTTGGGGAAAATTCCTCTTCAGTGGTGGCTTTTTATGGAACTTTAAAGTAACAAGTTAGCAAATTTCTGGTTAGAAATTAATTCTAATGAAGCAATAGTTTGTGTTAGGAATAGAAACTGCAGTCTCATATTAAAATATAGCAAAGCAATTACTAGAAAAGAACCGAACATACAACAGTATATTCAACCCCACATTATAATTCAATAACTTGAATTTAGGACATAAATTACCACTTTTCATCTGCCAGATTAGCCAAAATGGATCCACTTGATCCACTATTGATTGGATTATGCTGAATGAGGTGCTCTTATACACCAATACTTGGAAGTGTACATGGAAATAACATTCTGGAAGACAGTGGTAGTAATTATCAAATGTAGAAATGTACATGTTTTCTAACTGCCATTGTTGGGAGCCACTCTAGCAATACACGCCCTTAAGTCCTGAACTAGAGATACTGAACTATTATTGTGCCCCACAATAACTTGGGCCTTACCTCTGCTTGGATAATGAGGCTTGGCTCCAGGAGTACACATCACCCAATGGGGTAAAGTTACACTTACCTGATCCTTTGTAATCCTACCCCTTTGCCCTTTTTGGGATAAAATGTTCCATGGAACCTTCCCTTGTGTGTCCCCTATTTAAGAATAAAGAATTCCAGTGGCTCTATTTCCACAACCCCTAAGGTCAGAGAGCTGTCCCTGGATTTTGAAAAGGTACTTCTTTATGTTTGCATGCTTTCTTTGCTGTTTTCTTAAGTTATTGGAATAGTCAAATTTTGTGAACCCAGCATTAGATTGCCAGCTAGGATAGATGGTGATGTGCCATGAAATATTACAGCATGAATTTGCCTCATGGACAGAATTGCAAAATTGCGAACAAGACTATCTATTGAGGGCTGGGGTTGTAGCTCAGTGGTAGAGTGCTTGCCTAGAATGTGTGAAGCACTGGGTCTATCCTCAGCACGACATAAAAAATAAATAAAGGTTAAATTCTTTAAAACACTTAATATCTATTAAAGTCTTAATTAGAATCATATTTAGGTATTAATTTATATTGATGGATCTATATAATATAAACCAGATAAGAGGAAAAATGACATCTTTAGCTAGATGATTGTCAATTGTCTTTGCTTTCTTTTCTCATCTTCCTCTTCCCCACTTCCCCTTCCTCCATCCTCCCCTCCCCCTGCTTCTTCTTCTTTCTTTCTTTTTTTTTTTTTGATTGTCCAACATATGACTTATTAACTATATTTGGGGATTCATGAACTTAATAGTCAGGCCCACATTTACTATAGAGGGGGGGAATACTGGAAACACTTTTGA